ATAGATAGATGATAGATAGATAAATAGAAATAAAGAAAGATATGGGGGCTCCAGAAAGTTTCTGGAAAAATTCATTTTTCTTTGAACTAGATTTTTTCTGCAAAAACTTTTTGCAGCCTCCACACCTGCTTTGTATAAACCAAAACCAAAGCCAATGCCATCTACTTGATTCTAACTCATAGTTATCCAATGGAAGATTTCCGAGGCCGTAATTGTTTACAGAAACAGACAGCCTTATCTCTCTCCCTTGCAGTGGCTGGTGGCTTTGGACCACTGACCTTGTAATTAGCAGTCCACAATTTGCAATATGTATAACTTCTTAAAGAATATATGTCTATACCAAACCCACTGCCATCCAGTAAATTCCAACTCATCGCTATATGGGGCATTACCTATATGGGGCATTCAAGACTGTGAATCTTCATAGAAGCAAACAGCCTCGTCTTTCTTCCTCAGAATGGCTGGTGGGCTCAAAATACTGACTTGTTAGCAGCCCAATATGTAACTTGTCTCCATGGCTCCATATGTGTGAATATATATATATATGGAATATATATATTCTCTCTCTCTCAGAGAGAGAGAGAGAGAGAATGAGAGAGAGTTTTTCAGCACACTTTTAATGGTAAAATTAGTTGCCTTAGCGGATATTTGGGTTGGCTTATATTCGAGCATATTATATATATGTATATATATACACACACACACACACACACACACGCACATACACACACATGTGGGGGGAGGTCAGATGCACAGGCATCCCCCCCACCCCCACCCCTGAGGGCAATCAGTTGCCAAACTGCAGTGGGCCCTGCTCCATGCCTCTGGGGACAATAGACAGGCTCCTGTAGGTGGAGTTTTCACCCTACTGATAATGGTTCCTATGGAGACCCAGAGCCCACCCCCTAGACCACCCCCTCATTACTGTGTAACCTATAGTGTGGCCCCTCCCTGTGACGTATGTCTCTACCTGTAATTAATAGGCTGGCATGCCCCCAAAAGGTATATAGGCGTGAGTCAGCAATATAGAGCTCTCTCTGACCTATCTCTCTGGCTCCCCTCTCTTCCCCCTTTCCCTTGTTCCCTTGCCCTCCTTCCCTTCCCCCTCTCTCCACATGGACCACCAAACTAGGCTGAGGTGAGCGATGCTACCATGTAATATGTCTAACTGCATTATTATATCTCTCATGCTCTCGATGACTTTAATATAATACTTATATATCTCAACCGTACAATTGTGCATTACTGAACCCGTGGGTAGTAGTAGTAGCAGCGGGTGGGGGCTGGCCCCTCACCCCCCATCGCCATTTTAATTTAATACTATATATATATATAATGATCTCTGGTATCACAATGCTTAAGGTGCTTGACTGCTAACCCAAAGGGTGACAGTTTAAACCCACCAACCACTCATGACTCTGAGGGAGAACAATATGGCAGCTGCTTCTGTAAAGATTTACAGCCATAGAAATAATTTGGGAAGTTCTACTGTGCCCTGTAGGGTCACTATAACCAAACTATATCCAAGTTTGTGTGGGTGCTACATTTAACTCTATTTTTAGTCAAAGTCCTAGATCTTTTTTTTTCCGGACTTAAAAATGTCTATCCTGAACATTCATTCTTAATTCAACTAGTATTTAATTATAATTAAATGTAGGGATCTACTCAGTGGCACAAATGATTAAGTGCTCAATTCCTGCCTCAATACTGGTCATTTGAACCCACTCAGAGGCACTTCAGAAGACAGGCCTGGTGATATAGTCCATGCAATATCTCATATCATCCATCACTAGTATTACTAGGAAAAGAAAGCTGGTGTAAGAGTTAGGTTTTGTGTCAACTTGGCTGGGGCATGATTCTCAGTGCTTTGACAAGCAACACTTAGTTATCCCCCATGACCTGACCTGAAACAATGCAATCAATTGTAAAAATTTTGGGGTGGGATTCAACACCCTATTCAAGTCCCCGTCCTGATGCGGTCACTTGAAAGGAAGTTTGCCCAAGGGTATGGCTTGCTTCTTAGATAAGTGAACACTGTAAACGTTTGTTTGCCTTCTTGCTACATCTGGATCCTGCATATGGTTTATTGACCTCCAGTTCTTTGAAAAACTTGAACCAATGGCCTGCCATATTGCCTGCTGGTCCCAGGCGTCATCATCAACCTGTCATCTGACCTCCCAGACTTGGATTTATCACCTCTGCAGCTTCACACCTGATCTGCTGACACCAGAAGCCTCCAGCCAACGAAGGTCTTCCTGCCAATCATCAGGCCTTACCCCTACTCAAATCAGAAGCTTTCAGTCTAAAATCTGACCAATGAACTTGGATCCTCCTGGACCCAGACTCATCCTCTTCTACCACCATGTGAGCCATTGTCTTGGACACACGGACACACACACTGGTTTTGCTTCTTTAGAGAACTCAGCCTAAAACAGATTGGTACATGTAAACTCCACGGCTAGGATTCTATCCCTTGTGGTGTC